ATTTCTTGTCAAAATATGTGCACATTCCCAAGGCGGTATATTTTTTTTCTTATATACATACATATGCACATACATATACATAGCTAACATGGGCCTTTCTGTTGACCTTACTACGCTTAGCTATCATTTACAGCTTGATATGTGTGTGTAAATATGTACATATGTATGTAGAAAACCACCCTCACCATTGAGGTGCAATTATTTTCTATTTATTGGTACCAACAACAATAATAATAAGAACAACAAATGATAAGACTTAATTGATTAGAAATTACATTTCCGTTTCGCATTGACACCGAAACGCCCTGAAATAAATACCAACACACAAACACACTCACACACACACACACACACACGGCCATACAATAGTTACGCAAACTCAGTGGTTAAAACAATTTAAGCATTCAACACACAATTCCCAAAATAATAATCATACTTAAACTACTTGTAATTGAGGCCAATTCATGAGCGCGCGGCGGTTAACAAGCGCTAGAAAGTAAGAGAGAAGGAAAGTAGCAAAGGAAAAAAACGCATAAACAAGGCAAAAACAAGTAAAAGTGGTTCGTGAAATCGCCGCAGACAGAACTAACGAACCGACTAACAACATCAAAACGCTACACTACACTACGTCAAACCATCAAGCCAAACAATCCGACCACTGACGGCTGACGTGTTTATCGACGGCAAACAATCTAAATGACATATTAAGCGCAAAACAAATACACGCGGCGCGGCGTAAGTAACGATCAGTGGCCCAAAGAAGCGGCGCACTGTGGAGTCGTCCCATATAAGCTGCGGCCAAAGTACTTCGCGTGTTGCGATTTTACTATAACTCGATTCTGCGTTTAATGCGGCAAGAGGAAATCTGAAATATTACAAAAATTGGACAATTACCAAGCCAACTGCACTAGTGGGTGGAAAAATTAAAAATGCTCCAATTTTTGGTGCATATCGTCGGGCAGTCTTAAGAAATTAAAATATGACATTTGACAGAGATTGAAGCTCCCCAGACAAAACAAACTTCAAATAATTCACCGATTTTCAATAAAAAATGAGTTCAGTAAATTCCAGCTGAGAGGTCCAATCTTCGACAATTTTTTGCAGCAATTGGGATCTTAAGTCAGTAGTATTCTTTTTCAAGTCGTCAATCGTACCGGACTTATCTGTGTAGTCGAAGCTACCTGGCAGAGCCAGACAAAAAATAATGAAGCGGTGAAAAATCAAACGATCTTGAAGGCCATGCAACAGGCCGACGACGCGAGATAATGTGTTCGCCAAAAGTTTCCTTGAATAAATTGATTGAATTGGCGCTGTTTTGTTGAGAGCAGAGGACGTCATTATTCTTGGCTCTATGGCGATCCACATTCACTGACTGTAACATTATCACTTTAATTTTTAAATAAATATGTGCCAACGATTCCCTCTGTCCATAGAGCACATTAGACAATTACTTTTAGAGAATATAATGGCGTCTCAACGATGGCTGGCTTTACGTCATCCTACAACCAACCAAAAGTGAGTTTCTACGCTAAACAAAGTATTGTTGTGAAAATCGGGTTCGGTGGCCAACTCGTTTTGGGCCCATTCATCGTGCGTCGCGATTCATGGTCGTTCGACTTGTAAGCCTGCAAATGAAGATCCTCTCGCAAAATCTTCATTAAGTGGTTGGGGCAGCTCCAATTGTGGCGCGGACGGACTCATTGGGATCCACTTCAATACTCTACTTCCCAGCGGTAAGAGCGTTTTTATTGGGCACCGAACGATAGGGCGTCTCCGCGGATACGTATAATATTATCCAATAGAGTAAATGTCGATCAAACGACTCTACTGGACGATTATGTTGACCGGATATTGGACACGGCGGAAGATGCGTCGGGCGAACCACACCATTATATTTGAAAAATAATTTGCAATATTTGCAAACGTTTTTCCGGAGTAAGCCTGTTCATTATGAGCTGATGAAACGAGCCAAAAAATCAGCTCCGAAAGAAGTATTGCCTCAATGAAAACTTAAACTTTTTATGGTGGTATTTTAGTTATTCTTGGCGAAAGTATTTTTATAGTGCTCTATCTCAATTTAGCAGTGCTTACTGCTACTCTGAAGACTCAGGCTTCGAGTTCTGTTCCGATAAATAATCAAAGTTACAGAAGATTAAGTTTTCTTATTGCGAGAGCCGACCTCGGCAGGGAATGCCAAACTCTCCGAGTGTAATTCTGTCATAGAAACTTCATTTTTTTTATTTGCTTTAAGTGAATAACTCTTATTACAAAAATAAATTTCTTTAGAATTTCGAATTTTTCTTATGTGAAGATTTTCTTAACATCTGCAAAAAGTTTTCTCCATAAATTCCCACATTCATTTTGGCCATTTTTTAGCCACATCCGTCACAGTGTGCCGCTGCGCTTGGCGAGTGGCAAGTCAGCTACGTTTAGCGGCCACGTCATGTTTGTTTGTCCAGCTAAAAATCACCAAATTACGCGGATTATTAATTTAAGTCAAGCATTTGTGCAGCGTAGGGGCTACACACAGAAGTCTCCGACGCCGTCTTCTGTGCGTTTGTTTGCCTGTCGACAACTTTGCACATTGGCTTGCAGGCGCTTTCTTTCACTGCGCACTGCGACGCTTCCTTGCTGCTCCTGTCGCGCTCAGGTCATTTTACAAGTTGTCAAAACTTGTCATTTAAACGACAATTGTGCTTGTTTACTTTAATCATACTTGTTATTAGCATTAAACTTACTCTACCGCCTTGAAATATATACTTAACCTAGTGGTTTTTTATTTATAGTTCTGCTGCTGCCGTATGTTGTTGTTGTTGTATTTGTGAGTTGACAACCAACGGTCGCGTATACGTATATTTAATGAATTGGGCGTCTGCTAATAATTTTTTAACAAATTTAACAACCTTCAGTTAGCTACTGCTCCACTTTTTGCTCTGTAGTCCTGCGCTTTGCCTTGTTATCCTTTCGTGGAGGACGAGCTGATATGTACGGTTGGCAGGTGGTGCGTTCTACCGATCCGCCGCGCGCCACTGCTTATTAGGCTTTGTTATATAGCAAACGACAAAAGAAGTTTGCGACCTGCAAACGTGTTGGAATTTTTATTCGTTGGTTTTGGGCGGATTCTTTGCTGAATTCGTTTTGCCCTGTCCAATGTCTAGTATCGCCACAATGATTTATGTGCTCTTCAAGCGCGTGCTGTTGATCAGCAGCTGTACTCGTACATCATCATTTATATTCACTATACTCGTACAGTCGAAAGTGTGGGTATACAGCGGCTGACTGTTGCTGTGTTGAGAACCCTCAGCAAACTGTCTCAACCGTCAGTTAGTCATCTTAGCGTCAGTTTCAATATTTTTGAGCGATATTCGATATCCTTAATTGCTTTCATAACTGCCTACTGCCAATACATATATACATAGGCCCGGTTGATGTGCAGTGTGTTGTGTTGAGGCGCTTATTTGTCAGCCGCAGCGATCGATAAGCCTTCGCACCGGGCAGCTGGAAAGGTGAAAAAGGCGTAATTGTAGCTTGCAGAGCTCGGCACTGTGATAGTCGTTGAGTCCTCGTTGTATTGTTATGCTTGCATATACAAACATATATATATATATATATCTGAATATGTGAAGCAACCGCTCAGCACGTGTCAGCAACTGTCGATCGCCAGCTCAACAGGTGGATTGCTCTGTGGCATTGTTGCCTTATTAAGTTGTTCAACTATGCTTTATAACTGCAGTTATGACTGAAATTATATGTAGCGGTTTTATTTATGCAAAAGTATATGTGTTAAAGAGCAGTTAATATGCCCGAGGTGTGATTCAGAAATATTTTTATAGTTTATAGTAAAGTTCATATTTAAAAATTGTGCATAATTAACAGTGAAGGTGATCCCATCTCCGCCGAAAGTTCGCGCGTCTCAAGAGCAATAAGGTTGCAAGAGAAATAAAGCAATCGATTAAGACTTTTCTTCTCCATATGCGGTAATATATAGCAGGATGGGAACGATAAGCGACTTGTAGAGCTTTATTTTTTGTTCGTTGAGAGAGGACTTTACTTTTCAATTGCCTACTCAGTCCGAAGTAGCACCTGTTGGTGAGAGCGATTCTGTGTTGGATTTCCAAGCTGACATTGCTGTTGGTGTTAATAGTGGTTAAAAGGTAGATGAAGTTCTCAATGACTTCAAGATTTTGACTGTCAGCAGCATCGAGGGCGTCGTTCGCGAATGCGATTACTGTTTCTTTGCTGACTGGAGATGTTTCGTCTTGCACTCGTTCCCTCTTTAACCTACTCACATCTCTACCAGTCTGCAAAAAGTGGTACTAAAACTGCGATTTTCTCTCCCGTACATAACCCGCTCAGTTTCCGTGATAGGACCATGTATGTAGAGTGTTCGAAAAGCCGTCCTACAGCAGAAAGCAGGATTGCAAATCGAGTAGAAAGCTGCTTGGCTGTCTTTTCGCATTGCAAAAAGCTGCAACGTCTAACCTTCTTTGTATTTGTTGGCGGGCGTTCTTTGCTGCAAAAATGCGGAGGGTATCTAGGCTGCATAAAGATAGTGGTCCGATTCTATATTTGGAACTCGGATCATACATATGCCGAGGTCGATTAGATTATGAGCTCTTGGAGATGCTCACGGCTATGCAGCTTGCTGAATTTTCCTAGGCTGAAATGCAGTACTACAGACTACCATATTTTGGTCTGTGGAAGTCGATCAACACAAACCATTTGACCTCGCCCATAAGGTAACTATCAATACATCGTCCTTATCTTTTGTCGTCGCTTTGATACGTATTGGGGCAAGACTTTCGTCTATTGGGGTACAGGATAGTACTCTGTGGCAGTGTATTTCTCCTACCATAAATTCAATACTAAATTTGAACTCTTTTATATGGTCTTTATATAGAATGACTTTACAGGGAAGAAGTGACATTAGTTGAAATGGTTCTAATCTCCGAATGTACATATAAGGACTACAATATTTGCAGTAACCGAGGTCTTACTTACCGTGAAAGGATCCTGAAAATAGAAGAAAAGAAGAAGTTATTAGATTTGTGTTAACATAAAAAATAATTACAAAGTAAGCAAGAGATAAATTCAGTCTGAGTTAAACATGATATTTCTTAGACAGTTGGAATTGATGAGACCGGAAAAGTGATTGTGTTAAAGTTAATACTCAACCAAACAAAAATACTTTTAACAAACTTCTGCCGAGTTTGAATAAGTTTCTAGGTTTTAAAAAAATTTACACGCAAGAGTTCGTGCATTAGAAAAACCGATATATTCGGTTCGACTGTACGGTAGGCCAATTTTTTTTTGTACCATGGAGGGAGTATTGTAGAAACCGACTCATATGGTAGTTGGATGGCAAAAATATTCCTCAAAGTCATTCTTGGGGAATGTTGCCGGAGTGATATTTCTTGGCCGGATAAAAAATCCCGTCGTTCTGGTATAAAGATGCGACTGTCGCGGATACTATTGGATTTTCGTCGTCTTTTACGACAGGAATGCCTTCTTGAACCCCACATCCGGGACGGATTCAAGCAAACTATTTCCGGATTCAGCGATCACTTACAGTATTCACTCACCGTAAGCCACATACATTTTTCGACACGTTTTTTTACGCGATATTACATTTCTATATCTTTCAACTACATGATATGGTGCATTAATTTTGGTCCGCATTGATCTCGTCATTTCGCTCATTTGGGATAAACCATTGCACTTGCACGCCTGATTGAGCTATATGCTAAGCGAAACACGGAGAGTAAGTGAAGTAGAAGGTGCTGAAATCATTCACAAAATCACATTGGCACTTCGTAAGGAGACATCCTGCCTCAACTATTGTCAGTCACAGCTCACAGCCGGTAACCTTAAAGAAGTATGATATGCGGATGAACTTGCCATCCTATATTCCGCCAAACATTCCAGACGCCCAACACAGGTAATAAGACGCGTAAAATCAAAACCAGTTCTCCATACATGAAAAAAAATCTTAGCTAGAGACTAAAGCGCTCCAATTCGGTATGCCTGCATAATAGCTATTGCGCCAAATTGACTGCCATGGCCTTATTTCGTCTTAACCGGCCTTAATCGTCCTTAACATAGAAGTAATGTATGAAGCATCGCTAACAGCTATCCGTCCAAAAGTTTTCCAAAGAAATGGTGGCATTCAGAAAATTATATTAGAACTTAGAACTTTTCTGCTGGATAGAGACCACGAACTCTTTCGCTAGTAGGAAAATATGGACGGAAAGCCGACCCTTGAGTGACTTGGAAAATATCCACATCTATACTTATGGGTCTAAATATGAGGCAGTCACCATCATGATTCTTCTATGACCAAGCCAATAACGAACTATACAACTCGGTATTTCAAGCAGACATTGTGAGCAATACCGAAAGTGACAAGTAGGCAAAATCCAGTAGATAGAGACGCGGCAATTAAGAGCGTCAATACCAAGTCCAAATGAGTTGGAACAAGATAACCAACAGACCATTGCCCGAAACCTCAGTGAATATTGCTTGGACCGTTGGTCAAACGGATTGGAAAGGCAATAAAAATGCAGATTCGAGCTGGCGATGCTGTCACTATTGACTGTCTCAGATCTTTCAACGCCTCCAAATGATGTTTAGTGGAATTTAGGGAACATTTAATGTACTGGAGCAATTCCAAAATAAAATTTAACACATCTTCACCTCAGATATCAATTCCAAAAGCCAGGTAAGTAAGGAGTATAGAATCCGCTCAGAGTAAGATGAAATGCTGGACTAGTAGTGCTTTGCGAGTGCCTGGTCTTCTGTCGTTTGAGACGTGAAATCCTCAATATTCTTTCAGAGTTTGTTTTTTGCAATCCATTAACTAAAAATCTGTATTAATTAAGTTGTCAATTTAAAACGTCAACTAATTGTTAGTCAAGTCAACGGCGAGCAGCGGCAAGTGCTTGCAATCAAGAATTCATTGACCAAAAAATAAAGCCACAAGAATGCCTGCCGCTGTCAATAACTACAATCAGCTTGCCAACTCTTTTCTCAAGGGAAGTGTTCGAGTATAATTTCCCAAGCTTGCCTAGCTGCAATCAAGCCACACACCAGGCTCACGGTTTCTTTCACTAAGCTACAGGCTCCCACATAGCTACGTACTACACAATGTACGTACATAACACGTGCAAGGGTATGCAAGGGAGCAAAATATGGCGACAATGCCACATGGATGAGAGTTGTACTCGCGAGTATGAGGGAATTTATAAATTTACATAAATCTCCATTTAGATTTTGCAATTAAATTGCGATCTTTGTGTGTGAGCCAATTGTTGTGATAGTTGATGCTTTTGCTTTTGCTGCTGCTGCTGCTGCTGCTGCTATACTACACTACTGTACATACTCCGGCTGCTGGCGCCACTGTATTGTAGCACAAACCTGCGATGACTGGTGATAGCTCGCTCGTTGTATTGGTCATGCGCTGGCAGGCAGCCGGGACACGATTTGTTAGTTGCGACTATGCGCCGCGTACGTCATTTCACCAAACAGCGTCAGCGCAACAGGTGGAGCAGTGGCGGCGTAGCGGCGCGCGGGTTGTGTGGCTGTGAGATTACGTGCCAGCGTGACCAATGTCTGAATGTTACTCAATGAAATGAGTTCAACCAACAAAATCAAAGCGCGGTGACTCGCGTAAGGTCTCCGGCCAAAACAGGAATCGTGGTGTCTGTGTTGAGGAAATTTTGCTTCTGTGTGTCCGCCGGTTGTCTAACAAGACATCAAGTGCAACAAATAAAAAAAGAGAAGAAAAAATGTAAGAGCGAATTATAAAAACGGATTGGTACGCCGCTGCTGTTGTTGTGTTTGCTGCTGCTGCTGCCAACAACAATTGGCGACAACTTGTGCGGTGATTTTGCGGCAGCGTGCAGTTAATTAATTCGACTTACTGCCATACAACCATACACGACGTTGGACGATTTTAAAAATAAAGCGCCACCAAGTTGTCGCAGAAAACCCGCCGTTTTAACTCAGACCTGCGGAGCTGAACTGCTATCGCTGTTGTTGTAAGTTTTTCTGGTGTGGCAATGCCTGTGTGTTGTCGCCATTATGCCGGACTTGATTGTCTCCAAAAATGGTTCAAGCAATGAGATGCAATCGAGTCATCATCAACAGCCACATCAACCTCATCAACACCGACTCAGCGGGCGCATTTCAGGGGCGAGCGTATTTATTTATGCGCATGCCGAGATTGGGCGCGGTTCATCATCATCGAAATCAAGTCATTACAAGCAATCAACAGTTGCATACAAGTCAGCGAGCGAGCGTGTGAGTGACGATGCGAGTGCCAAGTGGGGGTTCACAAAACCATGTGATACTTCACTTTACTTGACGCTAAGGATCATCAACAACACTGAGCATCAGCATCCGCAGTGGATCACTGGCGTAACGCTTGCACACATATATACAGGGTTCACCAATAAGATATTCAAAGAAAAATGGCATTTTTTGTGGTCGGATGTTAAAATGTAAAGGGGACGATTAACCATTATCAGTCACAGCTACGCTCACAGGACTGTGTCCTCTTTATGCAGAATTTATGAATTTTTTCTTGACCAAATTGCAAAGTTGCTATAAGCCCGCAGCACCTTCACGAATTCCATCTTTTGAGGTCTTGACTCGACGTGTACTTGTAGGCGTAAACCTTATATTTCACGGGGCTCCAAAGGACGAAATCGCAAGGTCCTCGATTATAAAATATCGGTAGCCAATTGCGATCATATCTTCGAGAGATAGCACGGTCCGGAAACTTTTCCCTTAAAATATCGTTGGTTTCATTGGTGGTGTGGTGCAGTCTCGTTGAAGAAAAAAACGGTGTCCAGATCCATGCCATTTAACTCCAGCCATAAAAATTCATTAATCATCTTTCAATAGCGCAATTAGTTCTCCGTAATTGTTGTTGCAGCCTCATTTTCGAAAAACTAAGGCACCTACAATGAACTAGCCGGACCATAAGCCGCACCAAACAGTTACACGTTGATGATCGCGAGGCTTTTCAACAATAAATCTTGGGCTTTCCGAGTCCCAGACGCGTCAGTTTTGCTTAATGAAGAGGTGGAAATGAGATTCATCAGTCAATGATTTTTCGATGAAATTCCGGATCAGTTTCATGCATTTCATGGACCCAATCAGCAAAGACACGACGTTGTTGTTGATTGGTCGGCTTGAGTTTTTGTGTTAACTGAACTTTATGAGCCCTAAGACTCAAATCTTTACGCAAAATACGGTCTTATGACGTTTGTGGAATGCTTAATTCCAAAGAACGACGAGGAACGGAAAAACCTGACGGTTTCTTCGACAGTTTTGGGTACAGCAGCGAATTTCTCAGTCGTTCCTGAGTGAGAAGCAACTGTTTTATTCTACATATCGCTAACTTTTCCATTTTGTCCCCAAATTTCGGTATTGCGATCCGACATGATTCACGACAACCGAAAAAACTTTTAGTTTTACGAAGCGCGTCTGACAGTTTCCTTTTTATTCCTGGCGTAGTTTTTACTTGTCAAATATCAAAAAAATGACAGCTTCACGGCTATTCAAAATAACAACTCTTGATGGAAAACCCTTTACACACATACATACATCCGACAGCAATCGATTGACAGTGATCACGTAACTGCGTCCTCAAGGGGTTTAACAAAAAAGAAAATCTCTCAATTAGTCAAACAATTAAATCAACAAACGTACTAGAAATTAAACGAATTCACATGAAACATTTCGCTTTGATTTCTTTTTTTTTTATGTTTTTATTTTGGAAATGCCAAGCCGCGTGCATGCTGATTTCGGCCGGATATTTAGTTTACCCACCAGGTTAGCTGAATATATGTATATAGGTTGTGACAGTTACTGGCCAATTGCTCTGAATGGAGCGTCTTGAGGCGACTGAGTGTTCGTTTGTCTGTCGGCCCTTTCAGCTGTTGGGTTTTATGTCGTGTTGTCGCATTGCTCGATGGTGGCAACGAACAAAACCACCCGCAGTTTTTCAC